CTCCTAATAACAACTTGTTATCTAACTCGTTTTAATAACTCAACAACTCGCTTATTTAGGCATCCCTTATGTTGCATTATCGTGGATGAAGATATAAACTTTAAACCGCTATGTTTCCTAGTGAAAGATGTTAGCCTGTCATGGTGACTACACGTGTTAATCAACCGCTTAATAAACACTTAAATATTAACAAACACGTCCTGTATTATCTTAAATAACACATGTTTATTACACAACCTTACAAAGACAGGTGTTTTCATAAAGATGTTAAACCGTGAACAAAAACAACAGATGTCAGTAATTAGCAGCAATATTTTATTGTTATCATTTCTATCTAAACATAACAGTGATAAAGAAATTGGTTTAAACTTTGTTTTATTCAAATGTTTTGACAATAGATTGAAAAACAAATTGTACATGATATGAAATAGAAAAGGAAACAAAAACAAGTGTCATGACAATTATGTAAATTTGCTATCTGCTTCATAATCAATTATTAAAACACTAGCTACTGGAATGAAGTAATTTGAACAACAGAACCAATACGGGGATAGGGGAGGGGGTAATGGTTTGGTATGCAGTGGAAACCAGGAATGAATAATATATCAATATACATGTGATCATCAGATGGTAATAGCATATTGCTATATTGCAATGAGTATGTGGAACAAGACTATGTACAATATAACTATGCTATAATTGATTAAATTTTCGGCAATGCTGTAAATGGCCACTTGATGACTGTTAGAAATGTTTATACAAATTACATACCACGATTACCACTGAATAACTATTGACGAATTGTGTATATTAAAAAGCACCGCCATGCTTATTAGAAACGATGTAGTCCAAATACTAGCCATCACACTTTTCAAATCGAAGTCAATAAAACACTTTCCTGTCCCTGGCACAAGGTAACAATTTACTTATCAATTAATTCAAACATATTTTATAGACAATGAATAGTCATAGGGATTGAGCACAACTCACTAGGCCCTCTCGTTTCGTGACATAATATGGTATATATCAAGCATATGCATCCAAATACATTTCAAAACATACCAATTCTTGAATTCTTACATTCTTGAATTTTGTAGTAGACTCATTTTCATATACGACAAAAACGTGTCTTGCGTTTCTTTCCTTTTTATTCCGACCCATGACAAAGACTGACCAAACATAAAGAATAGTCTGGCTGACATTGACACCTTACAACTATACACAAATAACACGTACAAACATAATACATAAAAATATTGCAGATATACATGTACAGAGATATACATTTCATTATGCTTGTCAAATCTACAAAGACTTATATTTACGTTTATGTTGAAGGAATTACTTTTATAATAAATCTTATCTTTACATAACTAATCAAATAGCTTAACTCTACATGTAGCCTAATTCATTATAATTTAACTTTACGAATTACATGTAATGAATTACTTGTCTACAAATACATTTCATACAAAAAGAGCAATAAATGATGAAATACATTCACAGTTACTTTTACGAACAGTAGACATACTTTTAACACAAGAAGAAAAGATACATTATTAGAAAATACACATTGCACAAATACATATACCCCATTTATGGAATGGAGGCATTTTCGACTGGGACTTGGGACTTATTATTTCAAATGTTTCCCTTCAAGCCCTTTTCCTCATAGTGATATAGATCAATAGTTTAAAGACAAAATACAAATTAATTACAATCAAATGGTTTCAATTGAATAAAATCTGCAAATACCTTTGTTCTGTATTGTGACTTCTATAATACAAACATCAACTCTCCTTGAATTTTTTCTTTCTACTGACTTTTGGCGGCAAATACCCTGACTATATTTCTAGCCTCCCCCTCCCCCCNTACCAACTGATCAACGGAAGTGTATCTATATAAATAGACAAACAGGTTTTAAACACGTGCACATGACCAAAAACTGGGCAGGACCGGCACAGCACAATACATTCACATTTACATGAGCTTATACTCACCTGGTCTTCTTCTTTGTCGTTCGGGGGCTCCATCAATTTGATGTTTATGTCCTCGGGGGGTCCTATTGCAGAGGCGTGAAAAAGGGGTTATTTACAGTGATTAGGGTATGTTTTGTGATTTTTTTTGTGCAAGGTATAGATAAAAAAGATAAAATCTGGCATTTGTTTAGCGTGTGATGAGGGGTTCAAGGGCTGTGTAGGGTAAGTGTGCCTTGAAGTCCTCTAGTGTTGTGCATTGTACTGCATCTATGGGAAGGAGATTCCATTGTGTTATTGTGTGTGGAAAGAATGAATATTTGCAGGTGTCCTTTGTAGCAGATATGTGTTTCTATGCGTGAGGGTGTGCATGTCTGGTGCGAGTGTCTACGGGTGTGAGTATTTGTGTATGATGTTGTAAAAAAGGATAATTCTTGTGTGACAGCGCCGTGTTTGTAGTGTTGGCGACTGTAGTGTGTGGATCATATCTGTTACGGAACTAGTGTTGTGGTATCTGTTGTGTACGTATACGTAGCGTGCTGCTCTTCCTTGTGTTTTTTCTATTGATCCCAAATGGAAGAGCAGTATTCAAGTTTTGGCCTGACTAGTGCTTTGTATGCATGTTCTTTTATATGTGGCGAGTTTATTTTTAAGTTGCGTTTTAGAAAACCTAAGGACCTATTGGCATTGACTGTGATGTTGTTAATATGTTTGTCCCACCGTAGGTTATTTCGTAATATTAATCCTAAGTATTTGATTGATTCTACTTGGTGTAATGTGTGGTTGTGGAGTTTGTAGTCATGGTGTATTTAGTTGCCTTTCGGTGCAATGTTGAGTATGTTGCATTTGTCAGGGTGAAATTTCATTAACCAATCCGTCTCCCATTGTCCTGCTGCGTCAAGGTCATGTTGTAGTTTTAGTGTGTCTTCTTTGTTGTTTATCGTCTTGTATATGATGCTGTCGTCTGCAAACAGTCTAAGTGTGCTGTATTTCATGTATTCGTGGAAGTCATTGATGTAGATGAGGAAGAGGATGGGGCCCAAACAGGTTCCTTGAGGGACCCAAGAGGTTACTTGTATTATGTCTGATTGTTTGCCCTCGAGTACTACTGTTTGGGTGCGGAATGAGAGAAAGTCTGTAATCAATGCGTGTGTATTCCCTGTTATCCCGTAACATTGGGTCTGGGTCCTGCCTCAGGGCATGATACATGTAAGGTATACTGTAGGTCTTCTATACATACATCTATATATATACACAAATGTAAAAAAAAAATTATCTCAACAACGAGTCTGTAGTACTTACTAATGTATATATATATAAAACAACACAACATCAATGTTTCATATATCTTTATTAAAATTAGAATTAAATCACTCTACTACATTTTCAAGTAGGTGCAAAACACCTCACGGGGTAGAATGATGATTATTCTATTACTCTGTTGTCATATGGATTTTATATAAAGGAATGCTAACGTTAAAGGCCCAATGCATTATTGACGTGACGTCATACAATTGTAATGACCGGGGAATCCCCTCGTCTGAGTGTGCTTCTTGAAGAATCTGTCATCCCCTGTGGGGTGAGGTAGGGGAACACGTAGCTTGCCAAGTGTTTCTTGAGTGTTGAGATTCTCCATCTAACCTCAAGGGGATGAATGATTCTTTTTCTCTTATCCTGTTGACCGTGTCATGTACGTAATATAATGCTTCGGTTCATTGTTGACGTGAGGTGTATGCATTGTTGTCGTGACGTCATTGTAATGTTGACATGATCTCATACAATTGTTATAAATGGTAAATTCCCGGTCTCCACCCCAGGGTGAGACAAGAAATGCACAATAGGAAAACTTCAGGCCGTCAATAACTTCACAAATGACAATGCCCATTATATGTTATTTTCAACACTGAGCGCTGCTCTCCGGTGGGTTGGATAGTCTAGTGTTAAACAAAGCCTGCTATTGATCATATTACAAAAAAATACAACTTTATTTTTACTGTCAAACATTATATTATACAGATAAATTCACAAAAGCTTTTGTTTTGTTTACATTCATGTGCATCTTTTACAATTTGAACTATTTTACACACCTCCCGAAAAAGTCCTGTCATGGTGTACATGACGTTAAGCGTGGTCGGAAAATACATCTTCACCTCAAGTTATAACTGACAAATGTCCATCCTGAACAACTTACGGTGAACAATGATAATTTGTCTTGGGTTAAGTTATATTCGCCGAAACACTTACGGAGGTGATACGAGAAAGCAGCAGGGACACACGTTATAAAGGACAGATGACACACACCCTTATCCCGACGTAAACTGTTCGGAGAAACAACCGACCCGGATTTCTAATAGTTTTGGTACAACCAATTTAACGCTTTCAAATAGGAATGAACGTGCTTTAATTAATGTCCTCGTCTTTTAAACGGAATAGAATAGCAAAATGGAAAGACTAGTGCTCCTATAAGCTGTTAATTAGTTAAGAAACGACTTTTTGGTTAAAGTTGTTGTTTAAAAAACCCAAAAAAGCATTTATACTTAAAACTGCAAAGTTTTTATTGTTTGCTTAAAACTGTAAACCTGTCCGTCGCCGTAAAAAAACAAGTCTTTGTAAAACATTTAGCCCCCCCCCC